CTTTATCCTTCTCTTACTTGGACTAAGGATTATTTGAGCACCATTCAGCTTTGCACCGGGAAATCCCATTGAAATGTCTTTTTAGAAGCATGAGTGCTAATAATCCCATAATTATTCCTAGGCTGTCATTGCCTGGCTCATGCATATGCTTCTGCCTGTGCTTCGTCTTAATCCATATACTGCAGAAGGCATGGGATGACTTGGGAGGCTGGGTGAAGTAACAATACCCATGTGGTTTAACGGTACATGTATGAGATCTTCCTCCAACACATTGTATAAAGTAAAACCACCGCTGGAAGCAGCTTTGTGATGAGCATATTCAAAATTCAAGACTTTTGTATCAATATCTTTAATGCAGATTCAGACTATTCCACCGAAACTTTAGAAATGCAACTCCCATTTCTTGTCTGAAGAAGAAAAGCAATCTGGCTGTTATTTGTATATTGTTGACAAATTCTAAATAAATGTGTTCTGATGTTTATACTGCCATATGTGATCTTGAGACTTTATAATGCACAAAGATGTTTTCCAGGTTTGGTTTGTTGTTGTTGTTGTTGTTGGCATTTTTGTATTTCTCTATTCTGCAGGGAACCACCTTACTTGTAACCTACTGTAATGGTTCTGTATGACAGGAAATTACTGTCACAGAAGAATGGAAAAATGTTCTGAAATCACAGAAACATGTGCAACTGCATAGATGCAACAATTCAAATTTTGGGCCAGTCTCCCATGAATGCTGGTACAACTCTGTGAGTTGGAGCAGAGCCAGGGCCAAGAAGTCTGAAATCCCCACTGTGCTTCCCTGGAGAAGGGCCAGCTGAGATCACTGAAAGTGTATTTGGTTGATATGTGCTGCTGAAAGATGCGTCCTCTGTACTGCTTTGTGCAAGCTGCATGAATCCAGACAGCTTTCTGCATCATAATAGTACCTTTTGCCTGCATTTCAGTCTCCTCTCATTTCATTATTGAAATGTCGACTCAGCTCTTTTCCCAGACAACTATCAGAAGGAGGAACTGGTAACCACTTGTGAGAATGTTATACCTAAGAAAAGCCTGGAAGGGTTACCATAGTTCAGAATCAACTTGACAGCATTCTGCTGTTGTCGTCGTTGTCACAACTGACACCTTGAGCACCCTCTCATGCACAACTGCCTTGGATGTGTTTCAGTTACACTACTGTATCTTTTTTTTTTCCTTTCAAAAATGTCTTCTGGGTAGTATGTTGTTGCTGTTAATCAAAGTTGACTGTGATGAGCCATTGACTGAGTCCATGAGATGAGCCATTGTGCGCATTTGTGTGTAGGCATGGGGAAACGGAACACGTCAGCAATATCAACAGGGAATGTTGTCCACTGCCCTGCCAAAATAGAGATCTTCCAGATACCAACTGAAATTGGACAATCTAAATTGTTCCCTGATTTGTTTGTTACTGGGCAAACATGTGTGACAGTCACATTGATCCCATATGTTGTCCAACCGCTGTGCAATCATGTGGACATCCTTACCGTTACACATGCATTTTAGGCTGTTGAGCCACTAGGGTAGGAATGTGGCTTCCTCCTGAGTCCCCTTCAGTGTCTCCATAGCCTGACATTTCATATGCTGTGAGCAAAGGCATGATAGTGGATTGCACCATTGAAAATACCCTCTGCAGCCTGGGAGAGCCTTAAGTAATTAGCAATTGTGGCAGAAGAACAAGGTCACTGGTTGTCACATGATCTTAGCTGTTAAGAACAATATATGCTGCAGTTCCTGGTGTATCAGTTTCTTCAGCAGATAGGAATTGAGATAGAGATGAAAACAGAGGAGAAAAGTGAAGTCTAGATTCCAGTTACTTCTTTGTCAGGTTAGCCTACTTCTACATGTTGTTTTCGCTACCATGTAATCCCTTCCTCAACTATTATGTTTTCAGAGGAGGGACAGCGGGAGAGATTGAAATAATTCCATATAGAACAAAGAAAGAAAGATGCATGTAAAACAAAAAGTGCAATACAGTGTCCTTGCTTACTTGTGTCTGATAGCACTCATGGTTCTCCTTGACCTGTCATTTAAGGACTTTTTCAGTGGAGGTCCCCAATCAAGCCGTTTTGAAGGGAACAAAGCACGTGTGTCTTCTGTTCCTGAACAAGACAATCAAATGAAAGTGGTATTCTGTGTGTCAATATGGTTGAGCAGGCTGCTAAGGGGCATTTTTATGTTATAAGAAGGAAGCAGTCCAAAGAAACTTGAAGATATGTTAATTAAGGCTGCAGTGATATTATCTACTTCTGAGTAAGTGTACTGATCTATGGAGTGGTGCCAAACGTTTCTCTCTAACCTATCTGTACCAGCAACAAAATCTCAAGATGTCTCTAACTTTCAATGTTTTCCATTCATACAAGGCCCCAAAGCTCAATGAAGGCAATTACAGAGACAAAATCTTCAAGCCCTAAAGTAAAATAGAAGGACAGGTAAAAAATACAGACTATCACTATAAGGATTGCCCCTCCTGATGTTTTGTGACCTAAATCTAGCAGATTGGGACATGATTCCTACTCCAAAGTAAGAGAACTCACTTTCTTGTCCATCTTTCTTTCTTCTGTCTGAAGTGAATCTATGCTATCACAGCCCTCTTGTATGCCTGTCACCACCCACTGAACAAAACAAAATAGCCCATTTGTTGTTACATGCTGTCAAGTTCCATCCAAGTTATAGTGACCTTAATAGGGTTTTCAAGGCATGTGAGATATTTTAGCATTGCCTCTGTTCAGAGAGCTTCTGTGGATGCATGGGATTTGAACCCACGTCTCTATCATTCTACCCACTACACCACACCATCTGTTTACCAGGCGTGGGCAATTAATTTCTATAGGGGGGACACATGAAAAATCTGAACTGTGTTCAGGGGCCGAACCAACTTTACTTAAAAGTAAAATGAAACAGTGATGCTATGATTGTTTTTATTTTAAACTTGTTAATCTTCACAAATACTAAAGAGGGCTTTTTTTGCAGTATGTTAAAGATAAGCAACTGATCAACTTTAGACAAAAAGCCATAAATGGTCTTGATGTCTGGCGGGCTGTACAGGAGCGGCTCACGGACTGTATGTGGCCCTCGGGCCACACTTTGCCCAAGTCTGGTTTAGCCCATAGGGGTTATATAAGCATTCAGAAGATTGTGTGAATTCTAATAATAATACAGTGGTGCCTCACTTAACGATGTTAATTGGTTCCATAAAAAAATCGTTATGTGAAAACATCGTTAAGTGAAACACCATTTCCCATAGGAATGCATTGAAAACCAGTTAATCTGTTCCAATTGGAACAGATTAATGCTTGCAATCATTAGCCCACCTCCTGAAACCTATGCAAACTTAATTCGGTGTTGCTCTGAATCGTCGTTAATTTTTGGTGATTTTTTTTCTCTCTCATTGAAAAGCATTGGACCGTCCGTCCAATGCTTTTCAATGAGAGAGAGAAAAAATCACCAAAAATTAACGAAGACTCAGAACAACACCAAATTAAGTTTTTTATTTTTTTAAAAAAAGGGTTTTTTTTAAAAAGGGAAACAGAGATCAAAGAGCCCTTTCCGATCTCCCTTTTCGCTCCTGTAAAAGTGTCTTAAACTGTTTGAAGCCTGTTTAAAATGCTTGCAATCGTTAGCCCACCTCCTGAAACCTACGCAAACTTAATTTGGTGTTGTTCTGAGTCTTCGTTAATTTTTGGTGATTTTTTGTTTTCTCCATTGAAAGCCTTTGAATGAACCATTCAAAGGCTTTCAATGGAGAATTTAAAAAATCACCAAAAATTAACAACGACTCAGAACAACACCAAATTAAGTTTGCATAGGTTTCAGGAGATGGGCTAACAATTGCAAGCATTTAAAACAGGTTCCAAACATAGTAAGACACTTTTACAGGAGCGAAAAAGGGACATCGTTAAGTGAAATTCCCCCATAGAGAACATCTTTAAACGATGGGGGAAATTCCTCAAAGAAACCCATTGCTGTGTGAATTCATCGTTGTATGAAGCAATCGTTGTGCGAGGCACCACTAAACATGTGATTTTGGCAAGAAGAACTATGAGTGCTATCAGACACAAGAAAGCAAGGATACTATATTGCAATATACTTTTTTTTAACAGGCATCTTTCTTTCAGAGTTTTCCTGGTAGAGAATACTCAGAAGTGGTTTACAATGGGGGCCTCCTGGGACTGTGCAGCTTCCAGTGGGGACTCAAACTCCCAACCTCTGGGTCCATAACCAGATACCTAAACCACTGAGATATCCATCCAGTCCCTAAATGAATTCTACTTGAGCTTAATGTTTGGGAATGAAAACCCACTAAAATCACTGGAATAGCTCTGCTGAAAACACAACCAACTGACAGAACAAAAGAAAACGTATTATTTTTGTATTGTTTTGTAATTTGCAGTAGCCCTTAAAACACAGTTGTGAAGTGACTAATGGAGTGTTTCCAAAAATACATTTACTGTTAAGTGCTAGTTTCAAGGTAGATGGTATGAGAGAGGGGATAAGGCTCTCTCCCTATTCAGGGCATGAGCCCCAGTAACCATGACCTATAATCTCTTTCTGAAAATGAGATTTGTCCCATACTCATGTTCAGAAAAATGCTCTCTAGGATGACAATGAAAAACTGTGAGGATTTTCTTGTTTGCTAATAAGCATTTAATTCCATGCTGACATTTTTGGCCCTTTCAGGCTCTCACTTCCAACTTCCCAATCTTTTATTTGATTAATAAAGTCACACCTCACCTTTTGGAAACTTCTATATCCCCTTTTAGGGAAAAAGACAAAGCTGGGTTTTGAGCCAGACCCAACCTCATTAGGCAAGGAATTATCAAAATCTATAGCTGATTGCAGTAAATGGAAAGAATAATATTTGTATAGAGGACTTCAGTTTTTCCAAGTGGTTATATGTGGAAATCACTTTTTACTGAAAGAGAATAAAAAAAACAGACACATCTCTGGTGACGATGTTACTGCTGCCTTATTTTTTTTGCAATGCAGGAAGGTTCTAATGAAGCCCTTCAGGAAAAAGATATGTTTGCTGTATCTTTTGAAGTGGAGAAAAGGTCAGAAGTGGCTCGTAATCCCATTACACCAGTCAGCATGTGGCAGACCTTCCTGAAACCTCCTTTGCTCCTTCTCAAATTTCTGTAGAAAACAACATCCATTAAATCCTTACTTTCATTAGCCCTGCCATGAAGCAGAAGCCAGGAATTCCGTGCAGTTTTTGCTCCACAGCAACTCCCTTGACCACCCCACAAACCAAGTCCAAGGTTATCTGTGAGCTCTTTCTTGAATTGTGGACCTTAGAAATACTTACCAGTCCTGGTACAACAGCTGTGTGGTACTAGTCCCATTCCCGGATCTAAAACTGGTGGCATGGGCGGGGTATTATCGGTACGGTTGCCAGGTGTGTAGCATCCCATTTCCTGTAACGTCAAAGTCAAAGCCTGAGATTGAGAAACAGATCCCTGAATGTCACATTCCAATCTTTTGATGTCAGGGGTGGTGGTGGTGGTAGTGGTGGACCTTATGGAGAATTGCAGTGTTGAGTATTTGTGCCAAAGGAAGTAGAGGAACTATGATGGCTTTAAAGGCAATCATGTGAATTTCAGAGTAGCAGCTCTGGAACATGCAAGATAATGAAAAAAGAAGGTTGTTACTGAGCATGCCTTGATGGAATGTCTTGAAGCCATGAAAATGAACCCTAAACTCTAGAGTTGAAATTTCAGGTCCAAAGTCTGAGACCTAGTGGAGGAAACACAAAACATTAGTCTCAGGGCCAAACCCTGATATCTGGCAATGTAAATATCTGTTCGCTGCTGAGACTCAGAGCCCAATAAGAGAGATCTAGTGCTAATCCCCAGCGTTACTTTGCCGTGGTCCTCTTTACTGTGATGACCTGTTCAGCAATTCTCTCAAAGCACATAAGCAGTAACAAAAGCAAGAAGATGGATGGAACAGTAGAGTCCATTTGCCTTACTTACTCCAGCTGGGTAATTAGTAGGTATGTGAATCATAGAATCATAGAGTTGGAAGGGGCTTATAAGGCCATTGAGTCCAGCCCCCTGCTTTATGATCAATGGTGATCATAACATGAAGGTAGGTGTGAGTTCAAGCCATAGGTGGCCCATTGATCAAATCGCTGGACAACTCATCCTAAAATACTAGGTGAGGATTGACCCCTACTGCTGCCTCTTATTGGCCACTGTTTTTTCCATCCCCCCTCCAAATCTGGAACCAAAGCTGCTCTTTACTAATTATAAACAATGCAACTGTATATGAATGGAGGAAGAGGGCCTTAATCCTGAGAATGTCAGTTATGAGACATAGGTTGCCATGGGTACACATAGTTACCATGGCCTGCACAGGAAGATGCATAGTTAGCATGGCCTCCTATTGGAGTAATCCACTTAGTACCTACATCCAGAATGAAGAGAGTGCCAGAATGTGACTGGAACACTGTTTAGTGATTGATAACTGATTGGCTGTCTTCATTTCCACAGCTGCAACTTTCAACAGGTAGATTATAACAATGGTTCTCAACTTCTGGTATCTTAAGTCCTATAAAGCACTCTGATTAGAAAACCAGAGTCCCACCATGATAGAAACCGAACACCCACTCTTTCCAAGAAAGAGTCTTCTTTACAATATTTAAACAGGTTTACACATTGAGATATGCCACTTGTGTTGAGTTGAGTAACGAAAATAGGATATTATTAAAATGCAAAAAGGCTGAAAATAATCCAAGACAGGTAGGTTGGTTGGAGAAAGCCCAAAACATGTGCAGAATGACATGGCAATTAAAGGGGCACAAACCCTTATTAATTGTTGTGAAAACCTTGTGGCCCACCAGTTATATGCACTGAAAACCAACATGTTGAGAATCACTTGATTAATAGTAAAGCATAGCAAAACCCAGCTGTGTTCATGTCAGAGTTTGTTTTATTTTTTTTCAGAGAGAGTTTATTTGTGTTTAGTTTTCAGACTACAACACCCATTTTGGCCGGGGATTCTGGGATTTATACTCCAATAGTAATTTCTCAAAGCTCAGATCCTTCCTTTAGTTCTATTGTCATCCTTTTCTACTTCTCCCTTCCATATCTTCTTGTACTGTCATGTTCACACATTTATGGACCTGTACTCACAAAAATCAGCACAAGCATACATATGTTTAGGTGGGAATGTAACTATGAGTTGCCTCTTCATATATAGATCAGATTGTGGAAAGACATCTCAGCTTGCAGGACTGTCGTATATTCCAATTTCTGCCCAGATGCTTATACGCATGACAGTGGGTATCATTCAGTGAGGCATAGACTCAGCCCTGTAACTTAACTGAGAAGTGGAATCCAAATCAAGAAGACCTACAGTATGTATGTCCTGGGATATATCACATTTAAAAAAGGTGCTGTAGTTACATTCCTCCCTAATCATGAAATCAATAAAAGGAGATTTTACTATTTGATACAAATAGGAGCTATATCTGGTAAATAATAAGGCTTTCATGAACAGCCCAAACAAGGAGTAAATGGGATATTTCAATTCACACAAACCCTTGAGTTACCAAATTTTACATGCCAATATCACCAGCCATTCTGTTCTTTCTTAGCAACTGAATACCAATATGTCACAATTCTTTGATCATGCATCAGTCAGTAGTATCGGCTTTGAGCTCCCTCCTCGCTTCCTTCTCTCCCTTTCTCCCTTACACACAGAAGACGGGGGTGGGAAGGGGAGGAGGAAAAAAACAAGGACTAGAAGTAGTGTTCAAATTATAAGGAAGTCAATTTTAGCTAATCATTAGAAATGACACAACAGTCAGAGCTTTTCTTTCCCAACAAGCTTTTAGGTCTAAAGCAGAACTGCATTTGATGGATATGTTCTCATCTTTTGTTTTGCTTTTATTTGAGTCACTTTCAATCCCCAGTTTTGGGAGAATATAGCATGCTGAAATGCTGTATTTGGGACTTTACAGCAGGGTGACTTAAACAAACAAGTCATCAAGGTTATAGCAAATCCTTGTTTTGACCCTGCTTAATGCACAAATGCAAAGAATCTTGAGTCTTATAGTGGCCTATATACTGAATTTAGAAGAAGGAGGGGGAGGGGAGGGAGAGAGAGATTGACTTAGGGCAGGTGAAATTAAATACAGGTGACTCAGCAGCATTAATGCTTGCCTTTGTTCTTTCCTCATTGAAGTTACCAGTCGTGCCTGCAAGACGTTTTTGCTGCCGAAGGGATCCAGTTCTGCACAATTCACAGTTTGCCATCATAAAGACCAGGTTGACTGCAGAGGATTATTCTTTGTAGAACAATTGTGCTCTAGGTGTCTTTGAAAAAAAGGGAGACTCAACATTACTGTTGAAGCTCTTGGATTTCAAGTTGGTGGTGGATGAGGAAATCTCCACTCCTGCCTGTATGTTAGCCAAAAGTAATTAAAATGGCTGAAGATAAGAATGTCTTCCCAACTTTATCAGACAAAATTATTCACAGTTTTTTTAACATAATGGTCAGAGAGTCGTGCACTCTGAAAATCAAAAGATGAACTGACACTTTTTGACCTAAAAGCTGGCTCCATCTGAAATGTAGAAGATAACAGTTCCTTCTGAGATGTGGTGGAGATCGGAGGGAGGAAGCCTTTCTTAATTAATCTTGAGGAAAAATGATTTTTCAAAAATCTGAGGGCTGAAATCCAGCAGCATAATGTACACTGGGGAAGGTCAATGGCATCATCAGCCATGGCAGTTCTTCAAAAACTAAAACTTCATGACACCCTTCCCCAAATTTCCCAAGGCTCCCTTAGAGTCCCTTTTGTTGCAAGGAAACTTCTGGGAGCTGCAGGACAAGGATGGGAGGGCTTTAATTCTCAACAATTGAGAAAGACAGAGGCCATCACCACATCCTGTGACAAGGGGTTCCACAGACCAACAACAAGCTGGTTAAAAATATTTTCTTTTGTCTGTTCTCACTCTCCCAACACTCAATTCGAGTGGATGTCACCTGGTTCTGGTACTGTGTGTGAGGGAAAAGAGCTTTCCTCTATCTATCCCCCCCAATACATCTCTATCATTTCCCCCTTCAGTCACCTTTTATCTAGACCAGGGGTCTCCAAACTTTTCATTATGAGGGCCACATTTATTTTACACATTTTTGAGGGTCGAAGGGGTGAAGGAGGACCCAAGCGATCCCCCACCCTGGCTGTCTTTGCAAAGACGGTGGGGTGGGAGATTGCTTGGGTCCCCCTTTCTCTCCTCTTCCTATGCCTGGGCTGGATAAAAAGACAAGGCAGGCCGGATGTGGACCACGAGCCGTAGTTTGGAGACCCCTGATCTAGACTAAAGAGCCCCAAATGCTGTAGCCTTTCCTCATAAGCGAGGTGCCCCAGCCCAGTCATCACTTTAGTCGCTCTCCTCTGCACCTTTTCCAGTTCAACTATGTCTTTTTTGAGGTGCGGCAACCAGAACTGTACACAGTACTCCAGGTACTCAATGGTACCTTGCCATTGTTTTGTACAATGGCATTATAATGTTGGCTGTTTTATTTTCAATCCCCTTTTTATGATATTGCAGTCTAGATTTTTTTAGAGCATAGAAACTTCAAACATTAGCACAGCAGGCAATTTTGCAAGACTAAAGATGTGATCATATGGGGAAATAGACTGCATTTTGGATCAGTGAAATCTTTTCCTCAGTGATTGTAAATCTAAGTGACATTTCAAAAAAAGAAAAAAGAAGAAGCAGCAACTTTGCAGACTGGAAAATCAGAGCTTGTGATCACGCCTGTATCTGGTGCAGACGGAATTTGAACTATAGTCCTTTCCCCCCCACCCCCATTATTCATGCCAATAACTTGCCTTTTGTGGAATAAGAGGACTTCTATGTCATTTTGCAGAGTTGATGTCAGCCTTATCTCTTTCTGTCATAAAGGACAGGATCAGAAATGCAGGAATACACGGCTCACTATTCCTAGCTATTATTATCTGAAATGCAACGCTTTAATATTTTCCGCATGTTATCTAATAGAATCCCAAAGTTGTGAATGTGAAATTGAGCTACTGCTAGGAAAAGAAATCTATCTTTTTATTGTGGCACTTGACAATAAAGTAAATTAATTACAATAGCATAGAAATCAGTTAGGAGCAATTGTAGGTTTTCTATTGAATTGCTCTAAAAGAGACGATGGATAATGTGAAATGGATACTTGATAGACTTTTGTGTTGATTATGAATTAAAAATGAAATATAAAAATATAATAATAATGTGTTGCCAAATCAATTCCAAGACATGGTGACCCTTGTCCCTTGCCCGAAGGCAGCCCACAAGTGGTGCTGGAGGAGGCAATTCAGCAGCGGTGGCAGCAGTCAATGGGCAGCCACGAGAGGTGACCAAGAGTGGCTGCTCCTTTGACTCCACCTCCTTCCGTGTAACAAAACGACCCTCATTTTTTTCCTCTAATGATTTTAGGGGAAAAAATGTCATTTTCTACATGGAAAAGTACAGTACTTGGAAGTGGTTTACTCTTCCCATCTTCTGGGGGGGGGCACTTGAGGATCATTTAGCTTGTCCAAGACCACACAAGTTAACTCTTTATCCTACAAGGCACAAAGGGGAACCAAACTCCTAACTGCCGGCTCCATCTAGAGTTCTGTAGCAGCAGGTGTGCACTATCACATTTGCTCAGCTGGATCAGTCCAGTTGTAAATGTGGATGGGGGACTACATGCAGGTGCTGTCTGTTCCAGGTTACTTACAAATGAATGACAAAATGGATTACTTTGGCAAAATTGCCGTTTATTTGCATTTCACTGATTCTGAAGCATGCTTGTTTTCAAAAACATATGCACTTTGGAGGCCATTTCAGAAGACCACATGACCCCAGAGATACTGAAGGAGGAAGAAATAGCTCCTTCCAAGCAACGTTCAATATTTTGTTGTTGCCTTACAAAACCATAAAGACAACAGAACTAGAGCAACTAGCAAACTGCCTATATAAGAGATTATAAATAGAAGTCTTATTGGTTATCTATGGACATTGCTTGGAAAAAAAATATTATGCCTTTGTGCTATTGTATTAAAAAATTCCTTTATAACTCTTCTACACAGTTTGAATGCTGTATTCAATTTAAATGGCTCAGGGATTCTGAGTAGGAACACGTAGCTGTGGTTTGTTTTTAAATCTACTTAGTTGCCCAGAGTAGCGCCTTGGTGCTATATGGGTGAGATATAAATGTAATGAAAGAAAGAATAAATAAATAGATATACCAAATTGTATACAAGGGAGGATGAAAAGGAGGAACAAGCCAACCAAGTCACCCACCTGCCTATCCATCCATGTGGGCTAGTCCTATGGTTGAAATTTGAACGATATAGGTACTTTCTGGCTGAATTTTAACAAAAAGTTACTTTTTGCAGAAGTCATTTGGGGAATTATAGCCCTCAAATCAATGTTTTTAAGCTTTCTAAGTGTCGTTGCCTGGTGGGAAAAAAAAATAGAAGGCCACAAATGCCAGGTTAAAGGATAGTAATCTTGGCTGGTACTACACAATCCTTCGCCTCCTCACATTCTTACTATTAAACAAGTTGTTGGTACATAAAGTACAACTGTTTAAAATTCTGTAACTAAAACTAGAGCTTATCACCTTCTAATTGTCCCTTTTTCTTTTTTTCCCCTAGTAAAATAATATAGGTCTCAGCCTACTCTTTTCCAGTTCTTGGAGTCCCTCCAAGCAAGAATGTTAAGATGTTCTAAGAACGATTGGCTTTTTGTACATGATGATATTAGCCCTGGAGCGGATTTTCCTACTGTTTTGCCTACTGGTGTTACCCACGAGAGGTAAATGACACCAGCTCTTTGTAGCAAATTTGGGGACAGTGTCAATGATATGCAAGATCACTGAGTGGGGGATAAAAATGCGGCGGCTTGATTCTACCAACCAGCTTCTGTACCTGCTGTACAAACAGCATTTACTGCTGCCAAAAAACCTCACAAAAAACAAACAAACAAAAAACCACCACACACACACACACAAAAAACATAGTGACACCCATGCTATGCCTGGCAAGGATAGCAGAGAGAGGCACTGTTGTTCCTGGCTGGAACAACAATGCTTCTTTCTGAATTAGTGGCTAGTCAGAGACAACATGAAATATTAGGCCCTCTGTTAGCTCTAAAAACTTTAGAAGTAAACTGTTTTACAGCCTGAGAGATGCTTGTGGGAATAGGTTTGTCTACTGGTGTTACCTATGAGAGATAAATTGAATTTTAATGGACTAAATCCAATTGTTAGCCCCATTTAGAGCTGACCCGTTCAATGTTTAGGACTTGTTAGGTCAACATGGATGTGTTCATTAAATAGATCTACTCTAGTTGGAATTAAGAACTGGATTTCGTCTAACATCTGCCAAATACTAGATACTAGAATAAACAATGAGGGAAAGATTTGCCTTCTTCATGCCCTATCTGTGCACTTCTAAGGGCATTTGTGAGGAGCACAACATTGAATAGACAAGAGTTTGATCTCTTTGGGCTCTTACAGCTAGTCTGTCTGTGCATCTGCTTTTTTCAGCACTCCATGAAACTGGTCAGAGCTATGCTACAGTTTTGGGGAGCTACACTCCAAAAACGTACATTTTTTCAAGCTCTAATGAACTTTCACTTGTACCTAATTTGAACAATTTCTGGGACCGCCAGGCATCACTCTGCTACTGAACACTCTGAACACTCTACCCTGTTTAGTGAATAAATGCAACATGAAACTTGCTGAAGAAATAGACCATGATAGGTTTAGGGGCATGTGAAAGTAAATTCAGAGACTCACTTTACTATTCTATGAAGAACAGGCCAGAATTCTGCTGCTTCTCCTTTTTATCAGAGGAAGAGTACTGGGTGATAAAGAGGAAAGGAATCTATAATTTAGTTTTAGAGGAAACCGGATAGTAGTGGACATTGGCCAGCCCGGAGGCAGTATTACACTGAACGTAATGCCTTTAGCTCCCCTTCCTGCATTATCTTATACCTGAGATGTCTTTTCTGTAACCTTTCTGTGTTACCTTATCCATGCAATACCTTTTGCCTAACTGTAAATACTGCATCTGGTTGCATTACTGCGAAGGGAGAGCAGAATGGGAAATAAAATGCAATCGCATCAGTTTCTTAAACATGAAACCTTGAAAACTTTCCTAGAGGCAAAGTGGGCAAGTTTCTGAGTAGAAGGTGAGATGGAAGTCGGCCTTCGTAGATAAGATTAAAAGGAATCAGGGACTTATCTTTTCTGAACAGAAGTTTGGCTTCCCAAAATCATGTTGCTGGAAACAACCATAAATAACAAAGGCCCTCGTTTCTCTTATACATTGTTCTGATTTATGTACGGAACATCATTTGCTTTACCTAAGACTAAACTGATAGCCATAGCAAAGATTAGAATATTTTACAGACAAACTCTAAACAGTGTTCAAAACTTCACTTCAAAACTTCATTCTTCATTAGCACACAGTTCAGTATGGAATGTAATCCTGAAAGCTGGCAGCTGCAAGCATTCATATATATCTAGTTCTACAGGCAATTTAAAAAGTAATTTGGCTAAGACTGTCTTGCTAAGAACATTGGGCACAATTCTTCATGAAAGCTCAGAAATGTTAGCTTTTTTGGACTACATTTCCCAGAATTCCCTAGTGAGCATAAAAATGGCCATGTCAGTTGAGATATCCTGGGGGGCTATAGTCCAAAAAGGAATATTTGCAAGCCTTGACAGAGGCACACCTGTTTCTATTCAGTCTCTGAGATGAGATGTCTGTTTTTGTTCCCCATTTTATTTTATAATAGGGTTATTTTTCAGAGAAGAGCACATGGGAAGGTCTGAATCACAGGGCTCTGGATTTGTCCCCTAACTTGGTTTGGAAGCCAGTTTGGGGCTTCAGAATGGGTCCCTTTTTGGTCCAGAGTGATTTGTGTCTCATCTGATACTGTTTTTTCCTCAGATCTGAGTGGATTTGCAGATTGGAATCAGTGCCTCCCCTGACTTGTATTGGAAAACCAAATTGACAGTAACTTCTTCATTTTAGTCCTGAATGCACATGGAATTTGACGAGACAACAACAGACCCTACAGTGGGGAGAAAACCCACCACATTTCTGACAACTAGCTTCAGGGATAAGCGACTTTTAAAAATAAAATTTAAAAAAGAAAAAAAGAGAGAAAAGTCCAGAGTTGTTTATTCTCCAGATCCAAATTGACTGGTGCCGTAGTTCCAAACCAATTTATAAATCCACTGCACTTCACCAAGGAAGTGGATGTGATCATTCCACTTCAGTCTCGACTTCATACAGATCAGTGCAAATGCCGCCCATCTAGACATAGTCTACTCATTCCACTTCAATCTCAACTTCATACAGATCAGTGCAAACCAGGGCTTTTTGGTTAGTCATTTGGGCTTCACCCGTATAATACAATGTTGTTTGCTATTTTATGAACAAAGTTATTGGTGTTTGGATTGGAAGGTTCTACAAGACAAATTAAAATTCATCTTAACATGGTCCTCATCACAGAATTTTTCTCAAGACAAGCAAACCTGAGTCTTTGCCATGTGCGGCATTCTTGCTTTATTTTCCTAAAGAACGATATGTAGTTATGTTTTCCGGGCTTATCATATCTAAAAAAAGAGACAAGCATCCTTTAAGGCAGATGAAAGCCAAAGATTATGCCCCCCACTAAAAATTCAGCTTATAAATAATTTGAATTTCTTGTAGAGGTTCCTGGGTATGCACATGTGTCTCTTCTGTCTAATATCAGGCACTAGAATGCCTCAGTCTGACCCTGCTGCCTTGTTCTTTCCCATGCTCTCACTAGAGATCACAACTGCCAAAATCCTACTAAGTCACACTACAGTAGGTTCATTGAATCAATGAGGATCTGGCGAACCAATTCCTCCATAAGTTCCACTGAGTCAAATGGGTCTCTAGCTGCTACTTAATTTATTATAGTAAATCACAGATGGAGTAGGCCCCTTTGAATTAATGGAACTTACAGAGGACTTGATTCATTAAATCTCCATTGATTCAAAGGGCCTACTCCAGTGCAATTTGCTATGCAAATCAACAGGATTTGGTTAGGGACTTCAATGTGCATTAACATGTCATCAAGTTTGCTTTTAATGTGTGGTGACATTAATAAGGTATTCCAAATTTGTGAGATATTTAGGGAGTCATTTTCCGAGTGCTACCTCCTAGTGAGTTTCTATAGCTGAAACTATGGGGATTTGAACTCAGTTCACCAGACACCTAGTCTACTCATTACACCGAAACCTTATCTTTCTGCTGATAGTTTTAATTCCCTTTACTATTAAAGACCTGCATATTTTCCTTTGAGAACATTTTGGGAGAAGATTGCAAGCCAAATGTTGATTATAGCAGTTCATACAGGTCCACGATACTATAAAGAAGTAAATATCCCCCATACCTCAAGCAGAGAGACCCGAATCCACTTATCTTATGGAATTATCAATTTGGTCTCCACATGTGCAATATGAAATGTTTTGCCACTGAATTCCACAGCTCACAGAGGGATTAGCTTATAAAACTATGAACATGGTGGTTCATGCTGGTTCCTATAAACCTATAAACGGGTGGTCCTCAGGGCATGATTACTCAAGTGTGTGCTACCTGGGTCATGTGATTATGCTGCATGATCTTGCACCCTTGCCATACACTGGGCAAAGGCATAATTAAAACTTCTGAAAACGTTGCCAGTGTCAGAAAGAGCATCTAATAGGGTGAAGATAGCAGTTTCTCCTCATAGTCAATAAACTGAGTGACTTGCTCGTGGCAAGCAGGAAACAACCACAAACTTGAAAAACAACATTGTTGTCGTTTCAGCCAGTCCTTAGAAACGAACTACACGCTTCACCCGCTCTGGACTTTCCTTGCTGCAGTCACAGGCTACCTGCATTTTCTCTTGTCGCACTGCTTCTATAATTGCCACGGAGCCTCGTGCAGAAGCCTCTGGTGGTGTTTAGGGCTCCTTAAGCTCATAAAGGGCGAAAACAATCCTGCTGACTTTGCAGCAGGGACTCTAGAAAATAATTGGCTCTAATCGCCATGTCCAGACACTTTAGACTGCCATGTGAAAGAGCAAACTAGCTAACAGCAAAAGGCAAACACTGCTTGCTGGAGATAAGGGATGAGTTTTCTTTACCTAACCCCTTTGTTTCCACAGTGTGCTTTGGGCTTAAAGAAGAACAATCACTACTCATTTGTTGCATGACTTTGCTTTCTTTCCCCCATGTAGAAGAGAATCTCATGCAATGAATCCTGTGTCTAGAATATAATTACAAGGTGGGGACGGCATGAGCAAAATATTATATTTGATTGTGCTGAGGTCTGGTTCGCTGGGTGACTCTCCACCTATCACTCTTGGCCTTAGTTCTCCATCCATAACATGAGGATGAGATAGTGGCCACATTAGTGAGGAGAAACCTGCAGCCAGGTGGCCAAAAGTAGTCACAGGACCTAATAGCTCCCCAATACCCCATTCTTTTATTCTTTTTTTTTAACCCCAAAATGGACATTCCTGCTAATATACTACCCAACTGATTCATCTTAACTGTTGTTTGAGCCCATTATTTCTGTGTAAAAGATCCTGATATCTCCAGATACAGCAGGCGAAGATTACCATCTGAAAATCAGGAGAGCTGTTGACACTTGAAGTGTCAATAATATTGAGCTAGGTGTTATAAATTGATATACCACAATGTTGCCTTTTACTACACAAAGGAGGAGTTTTCATAATAAGGATCTTATGGAACTCCATTGTGGGAATTGTAGAGCTATCACAGATTTGTGGGAACAAAACAGTATACATGATCTTACATAAAAAGAGGAGTAAATGTTACACCAAATATAAAATAGCCTTCTGTGGGAGTTACAAACAGGAATGAGGATAGTAAGTAGGACACTGCTTGTCTGTCAGAACGCTTGCTGGGCTAGAAAGAAGATTTTGTTGTTGTTGTTGTTTACCAGTGCCTCTAGTTGGATCATTAACTACAACTTGAAATTCAGGCATTTCCTGACACATCAAGTGTGTTCTCTCATCTTCCACAGCAACTGAGGTCTACAGCAACCTAAACTAAGAACATCATTTAGCTCTTGAACTATGGCAAAACTACACATTATTCAGAACCTGAGCAAGTATTGCTTTTTTGAGGGGGGGGATATAACTCCTCAAATCTCTCAGCTGGCAATACTGTACCTGGAACCATACTAGCTGGGAGAATTTTGGGAGTTGTAGTTCAAAAATGGTTTCAAGCTCTCTTGAAGGATTTAATGCTGGAATAGAGTTTTAAAATTGGATTTTATGATGAAAGCTCATGCAAGGAGTGGTCTCATGCCTATATCTATCTGCATTGCTCTCTGATGAAATGTTACTTATCTTATCTCTTCTTAAACATTTGTATAGGTTGCTGTTTTGTTGCTAATTACAGAAGTCAAAATAAGTATCTGCAGTCTGCTACTTAAATTGAAGCCCACCATAGCTTGAAATCAAGAATTGGAACAGAACAAGTTGAGAGCATAACACAATTAAAATAGGCAACTTGAAAATGAGTAAAAGGCAGCACCTACTGGGATTATGTTAGGCAGCAACCCACCTTAATAACCAAAATGAAAAACAAAAGCTACGACAATTCAGTTCTTTCCCTGGAGCAGCACTTCCAATATGTGTGGGATATTTAAGGAGGGATTATACCAGTGCCAAAGGGACATGGTGGCGCTGTGGGCTAAACCGCAGAAGCCTGTGCTGCAGGGTCAGAAGACCAAGCAGTCGTAAGATCGAATCCACGTGACAGAGTGAGCGCCCATCACTTGTTCCAGCTCCCGCCAACCTAGCGGTTCGAAAGCATGCAAATGCAAGTAGATAAATAGGGACCACTTCGGTGGGAAGGTAACAGCGTTCCGTGTCTAAGTCGCACTCGCCATGTGACCACGGAAGATTGTCTTCAGACAAACGCTGGCTCTATGGCTTGGAAACGGGGATGAGTACCGCCCCCTAGAGTCGAACACGACTGGACCAAAATTGTCAAGAGGAACCTTTACCTTTACCTTTATACCAGTGCCAACACTCACCAACTGTGAATTTCCATGGCCAAGCAGGGATTTGAACTTAGATCTCCTCAGTCCTAGTCTTACATTCTACATGCACACTGCCCAGGTTCCCAGTTACCAAAAGCCTGCCTCAATAAAAAGTTCTCTGCCTGCCAATAGGACAGTAGGGAAGGGAACAGCCTAACCTCCTTTGGTAGGGAGTTCCATGCCCTGAAATTGACCACTGAGAAGGCCATCTCTTACCAATTGTAGGCCGTTCATATGCACTATTCAGTTTACTTTTTCAGGCTATCAAGCACCCTTCTTCACTCTTTATGCAAGCAGCGTTTCTTCTACAGTGCAATCCTATGCACTGCTACTGAGATTTAAACCTCACTGACTTACTTCTCCCATAGAAGGATCTATAGAATCTTAGCTGTAGAGAAGCCATCTCTTCTATTGCATCCAGCATGTGGTGGTATTTGATGGAAGCAGAAGCTTGCTGACCCATGCATAAGTTCCATGAAAAACAGTGGTGTTAGGATGATTTGTTGAGCAAGGCTTTGCATTATTTTCAGACAAGAGTGAAAAATGGATTAAATTGGGGATATTGGTGCAAATCCAGGGCAGCTAAATGACAGAGCCTTGAATTGCCCCAGGGTGGAGCAATACCTATAGGAACTTTGTTTTCTATCTGGCATTTTAGGGGTTAAATATATTTAAAAGAAACACAGCAACTGAACTGAGGAAAGTGGAATGGAAGTATATATAATAGACCAAAGTTCTGGTGCCAGAAGAGATGACAGGTGACAACTGAACCCAAAATCTTGCCTAGATATGCCAAGTACTAAGGCAATGAAGCTGAGGTCATAAACATGCTATATATCCCCTTGTAGTTGCTCAGCCATCCATTTTCCAGAGTTGCATGGCAACATGAAGAAGTTTTATCATTTAGTAAATTAGTCTTTGCATTCTATAATATACTTTCCCTCTGCTCTCAACATAGTTTTCTAAACTTTATTCTCAAAATATTACAGTATTAGGATTGTGTGTCTGTGTGGGTTTTGAGTGGTTAGGTCA